GATCAGAAATGAAGCCTCAGATTATTTTCCTCCACTCCGTGGTGATACATACATATGAGGGGGGGTCCGTAATCCCCCCCCCACTGATGCTGATCTCATTATTTTGCTCCCAGCTGTGTACGAACAGTCCTGCGAGGCCTACAAACACAACGGGAACTCGTCGGGGTTTTTCTACCTGGACGTGGACGGCAGCGGCCCAATAGGACCACAGCTGGTGTTCTGCAACATGACAGGTGACCAACACCCCCCCATCTCTGCACCATGAGCCCTTACATCATTTCATTTGATGTTTTCTCTGTTTTTTTACTCCTCAGCCACTTCCTTTAACCCCAATGTGAGATCAATAAAGCTCTTATCTTATCTTATCTTATCTTATCTTATCTTATCTTATCTTATCTTATCTTATCTTATCTTTTCTTATATTATCTTATCTTATGCGGACTCCTCTATCACATTACTTATATAACCATATTAAATTGATTTTAGCTGGTACACTTCCAATTTCATCTTTACTTATTACTGTTTATTTGTACTTTTCTCTGTTTTTCTGCAACATGACAGGTGACCAACACCCCCCCATCTCTGCACCATGAGCCCTTACATCATTTAATTTGATGTTTCTCTCTTTTATTTTACTCCTCAGCCACTTCCTTTAACCCTCATCTTATGCGGACTCCTCTATCACATTACTTAAATAACCATATTAAATTGATTTTAGCTGGCAGACTTCCAATTTAATCTCTACTTATTACTGTTTATTTGTACTTTTCTCTGTTTTTCTGCTTAAAACGGATGCTCAAATATTCCGTCTGGAAGAACAGGAAACAAACGACTGGGTGTTGAGTTAATTATTAGGGCCAAAACTTTAATATGTCAACTTAGATGAATTAATGAGAGTGGAAAAGCATGTATTAAACTAAATTAAACATAGCTCATCGCATCTGTTTCAGTTTCCTGCTGACACCCTCAAGCCCAATAGGTGGCAGCAATACAACTAATGGGAAGAAAATGCACAGGAAGCAGTAGTTGACACAGAATATGATTTCTTTTTAATTGGGGCCACTTAAGATTAATTCATTACAAAGCCTTTCATGGTAGGGTTAATCACCAGACTTTTCAGATACCTCCATTCCTCACTGGACACCAAAATAAAAACTCTCTGCTAACTGTAAAAAGTAGCTTGGCTAGCTTAAGTAGCCATAAAAAGTAGCTTCTCAGATCTTTTTTGTTCCTTTACTTCAAAGGTAATGCAACACACACGTGTCTCAGGATTATTAAGGTTTTGTAGCTAGATTAATCAGCAAATTGACACAGTTGAGATCATTCTTCTTACAGCCTGGTGGCGCCTTATGTCTGGAGCAAGGGAATACTTTTGGGTTTTCAGTAAATGCGCTGATTATTCACCAGCTTCTACATTTTTTTTTTCTCTTTATATGAAAACCCATCTTTAATGACGATAGTTAAGTTAATAATGACACTCATTATGGTCAGGTTGTTCAGGTTTTCTGTCAGTTTTTTTGGGGATATTTTTTTCTTATAAAGTTATGTACTACGTGACGCATCAATAGCTCTCTATGTATCAGATATGATTTGACACCAAAGGGCCAATTTATGGGCCCAATCTCAGGTTGTTGTGGCTCGGTTTTCCTTCCCTCTGGCGCCGTGTGCTTGTATTTGACCCTAAAGTCTGCTTCTGATGACTGAAAACTAAGATGTGGACTCATTTTTGGCCACCAGAGGAGGAAACGTGGATGGTGATTCAGCACAACAACACGGAGCTGACCAAAGTCCGGCCGGCTCCGGGTCTGAACCAGCACTCAGTCTACTTTCACTACACGTCTCAGGAGGAGCAGCTGTCGGCCGCCATCGACCAATCAGAGCACTGCCAGCAGGAGCTGTCCTACCACTGCAGGAAGTCCCGCCTCCTCAACACTCAAGGTAAAAAACTTGAACTTGCTGCATTCACTGACACCATGGAAATTTGACTTTCTGATATGTAATCGCTATAAAAAGGGCAGGAATTGTCAAACCTTTTTTGTAATTTCATGAAGCTCCAGCTTTTATCTTTTGAAACCTTTTAGGTTTATTACTCTCGACGAGGCCTTGCTCTTAAGAGCAAAGCAAACCTTTGATTACACCGACTGGAAATGACCTCCATAACACAAAATCTGAAACATTTTTATCCAGCCAACTTTAGTGTTCTTTCAAAAGTGACTCTTTTTTATTTATGTCTGGCAACGACAAATAGAAAATTATGAACCTCTTGTGCTCTAAAATCAGTTTATTTTCACAAGTTACTGAACAGAAAAACAACTTCCCGTCAGGGTCATATTTTTAGCGTTTACAGTCCCTTTATTTTATTATCCAGGATGAATGATTTTGATATCGTTCTCATGTCAGTGTTTATGAAAAATGTGCTGGCTCTGCAGGGATTTCTGCAAAATCAACTATTTGTTATGAGCAAACTCATAGTAAAAAATACACAGCAAAACATTCAATTAAGTTGTGAAAAGAACTCTTTTCCTGCACAAAGCACACAAACCCAGTGAAGCTTTGGCTCAGGTCATTCTCAATTTTTTTGAGAGATTTGGAGCAAATCTGATTCGTAGATCATTGCACCCAAAAATTGGAGATATAGAAAATATTTTTTCACGTTATCTTTGGACAAGATGAGTCACTTGGCTTCAGCCGTGTGTTTGTGTTCATGTTGGGATGATTCTGATGTAGATCTAGCAATTCAAACACCTTCTCTAATCTTCATCCTTTTCATTTTGTAATCTCATCTCGCGGGGATGAATTCTGGAGTCTTATTTCATCCATTTTCCTTCAAGTGTGGGCTCAAATAAGAAGTGAAAACGGTAAACGTGGAGAGCAAAAGAAAGAATCCCTTTGATCACCGTGTTGCATTCAATTTGTCTTTGCCGCACTGATTTAAAAAACGTGGGCCGTCTGCAGTCTTAACAAAAAGACGAATAAGCATCGCATTCAGCTCTGAAGAGCCACAATTAAAGACATGATGGCTTCTATTTTCGCGTTTGAAAGAGGTAAGTCTATTTCAGGCTAAGCAGGCACCAACAAATTAGCTTCTGGGGAGATAAAGTAAAAGAAATGAGAATCTCATTAAAGATGGGACAAGTTAAAGAGAAAGAAACTGGTTCCCGAAATGGTTACGCAGCAGTTTTGACTAAAAAATGTCACAGATTGTTAGAGGAAGCAGACCAACAAAAGACAGACGTCTGATGGTTTTAAGACAAAAAAACGTTAAACAGTCAAATTAAAAAACGTCATCTCTAAGAAGCAATGAATGAAGAAATGATCCAAAAAGAAACAACTGAAAGCCAGGGCTAAATATACTGAACACAAACACTAGATAAGACGAATAAAAGCTCATTTGTGCGCATTGCGTAAAGAGAAGGAGGCTTCTATTCACGTTCACATTCAATTCAGTTTCAATTCACCTTGTATGGATCCATTTATATAACACCAAATGTCAGGTCGAGGCACTTTAAAGATAGAATCCAATTCAGGATTTTGTACCTGAACCGATCCAGCAGAAATCCTGGTGGTTCAGATACGACCAGAAGAGAAAGAAGCAAATACACTAAAGAAGAGTTGTCGTATGCACAGTTAAACAAAACCGTTTTCATCCTGGATTTCAACATTATCAGATCTGAGGTCTGTCTCAACTCTTCAGGATTTTTGTTCCAGATTTTAGGAGCATAAAACTGAAATGAAGCCTCCCCTTGTTCGGTTCTGACTGGGTTTTAAAAAAAACTCAAAAGCACACAAAACGAGCGGAGAAATGTCAGAAACCGTCTGCTATCTGCTCCACAGGTAACGTCAGGGATGTGAGAATAGCCAAATGTCAGCGTGTGTCAGGCTGCTGAACTCTGAGCGACAGGTCGCTGACATTATCTCCAGACGTCGATTTACACAAATCAGACACCAGTCAGAGCTTCATGTCTGCCATGGAGCCGCAAAGAGAAAATGAGGGCCATTTGTGAAAGGGAGGCTCCATTTTTGTGAGGCAGGTAATAAAATGACAAATGAAAACGATGAAATCGATAAAAAAAAAAAAGAAAGAAAAGGAGAAAAGCATAGAAATAGAAACTCCATTATAATCCCTGGGTGCTCACTGGGAAAATGAAGAAAAGCTGACTCAGCGGAGACGTTTCAAACCTCCCTCTTGCCGTCCTACAAGCTCCCCCAATGTGAAATTCATTTTTCAGTTCATCCTGTCACCCTCTGCTGTATGAAAACAATATATTCAGCATCAGGTGGAGGAGAGATGGGGCCTCTTTCCAAGCCACAGTGGGCTATTTTTCACAGCTCAGTCCATTTTTTATCCACAACAGACCTTGGTTGCGCTATTGGTTCTGCATCAGTCTTGGTTTATAATGGATCCACTCTCAATTTGCCCCTTGATTTCGGACTTTTCGAACAACATATGACTTTTATTCCACATTTATTCCCAAAAAATGAAGGAAAATGTTTTTAAAAAGTGAATTTTTCCTCTAAAGAATGTCGGAAAACAGGCGCTAAACCTAATTCCTGACAGATTCTTTAAATCTAAATGAGTCAAGAGTCACCAAAGACATGTTACCCTTAATATCAGACAGCTGCTATTTCATAAAAATGAAGCTATGAAACCATGACATCAGCCCAATCTTAAGAAGCTGTGTGGGAAAATTTGTGGTGATCTACATGACTTATCGCATAGTAATAAATTATTAATATTTCAAATGTATTTTAGTTTTTTCTTTTTACATATTTTGTTAAAAGGCCAAATAAGGAATTCAAACCAAAAAAAAAAGTAATTTTCTGTTTTGTTTTATTCTTGGATCAGTCTTTAAAGGGTTCAAATCGGCCATGTTTCCTTCTCTGTGTTCCAGAGGGCTCCCTGTTCAGCTGGTGGTTGGGCGGTCCTGGTCCTGGTCCTGGACGGGTCCAGACCTACTGGGGGGGGGCGAACCCGGGCAGCCAGCAGTGCGCCTGCGGCCTGCGGGGCGACTGCGTGGACCCCCAGCACTACTGCAACTGCGACGCCGACCGCCTGGAGTGGTACGCGCTTTCAGAATCAGAATCAGAATCAGAATCAGGTTTATTGCCAAGTAGGTTTTTAGACTTACAAGGAATTTGCCTTGGCGTTTGGTGCCCAACACAACACTTCTATGAGAAGCAAGAATAAAATGTAGAAATAAAAATATAGGACAGAAATGATAAAACTGAAAAATACAATCTTTAAAAATATAGATCTGAATGTACAAATGAACAATCTTTAAAAATATAGATTCGAATGTGCAAATTAACAATTGAAATGTGCAATGTTGATGTGCAACGACAGACCAGAAAATGCTGACAGTAGCATTGGGTAAATTAGTGAGATAGAGGGGGGGGGGGGGA